CCTATCTAGCACAGTACTTGACTGAGTGGGATCATATTGCTTTTGCCTTTAATAATTCATACAGTAGTACAAGGCAGAACCATCTTATATTATCTCTGGAACAAGACTGGCAATAAATTTTTAAAAAATGAGTATGTATATCATAAATGCCCTATCAGTTTTATCACCAAAACTCTGCAGGAGTTTAGAGAGAAGTCACATTTCCCTGAGGTAATTAAGCTAGTCAACAAATGTTTATGATAGTATGAATTGTTTTTTATGCCTGTAACAAATAGCATATGAGAATGTTTATGTTAAATTAAAACATAGATTGCAATATAGTTATGAGTACAGTGTTATATACAATTTTTTAAAAGGCTAGAAAGCCATCAAAATCTTAAGAAACAATTGTATCAGGTCAATTTAGGGAGACCGAGAGGGAGGAAGGGAGGTGGAATTAGAAATATGTATAATATTTTTATTTAGAAATATATTTTTAAAATAAAAAATACAGTCACATAGTTTCAAAATTTAAAAAATAAACTGTTTTAGGTCTTGCCCTGGGTGATAGAGACACCAGTGAAATAGAAATGACAATAGGAAAGGTAGTAATAACTACCAGCATTTACAAGCATACAGTAGTTTCCTTCCCATAATCACCCTCTACTACCTACTTCCCCTCACCCTTTCAAGACCAGTATTATTGTGCATCCTTCAGTGATATTTTTTGTCTGATAAGCAAATATGTAGATTTATTATATATCATTTATCTCTCTGTTTTATAAACTGTTCTGTACCTTGCTTTAGTAACAGTATGTTGGATAGCTTTCTTTTTTAAATAATATTTTACAGTTTACTTACTCCTTGTAATTGTCTCATAGCATTTTTTCATTAAATGGACTATCATTATTTAACCAGTCTCTATTCCATGACTTTGCTATTACAAGCAGTGCTGTAATGAATAGCATTACACTTATGTCATTTTGTACTTGTATGTATTATCTGAAGGATAAGGATAAGTTCCTAGAGGTGGAATTGCTGGATCAGTGCATTTGCATTTGTAATTTTGATAGATATAAATCAGCGGCATACAATCATAATTACCTAGGGAACTTTTCCGAAGTTCTTATGTCTGCCCTTCCTAAAACCTGGGAGTTATTTCTGGTTGTTTTGTGGTTTTCTATAGATCTGGGATGGGGCTTAGGTATCTATATGTTTTAAAGTGTCTAAACTGGGCTGGGCATGGTGGCTTATGCCTGTAACCCCCAGCACTTTGGGAGTCCGAGCTGGGTGGATCACTCGAGGTCAGGAGTTCAAGACGAGCCTGGCCAGCATGGTGAAACCTCCTCTCTACTAAAAATACAAAAAAAATAGCCGAGCATGGTGGCACGCACCTGTAAATCCCAGCTACTCAGGAGGCTGAGGCAGGAGAATTGCTTGAACCTGGAGGTAGAAGTTGCAGTGACCCAAGATACCACCATTGCACTACAGCCTGGGCAACAGAGCGAGACTCCATCTCAAAAAAACAAAACAAAACAAAACAAAACAAAAACCAAATCTACCACAAATAGAAAAGGCCAGGATTAGTTTAGGATGTGTTACTCAGCCCATTTAGCCTTTTAGCCTAAGTAGTATTT